AAGCAACAAACATCGACGATAGTGAACATGCCACAAAAACTGCCGATGAATATACATCCTGCCAGTGTGAACGTTAGTACTCCGACACCATCAAGAATCCATCAACCGCAGCCTACCGCTCTAAAGGGTATCAATGGACAACCTCATCCGCTCAATCCGAAAACGCACTTGCTACAGGCTGTGGTTCCACCGATTGGAACAGTAGCAAGTTCACCTACACAACCGCATCTCGTCAATCCTCAGATCTCAACTGTCGTGAACAGTGTCCGACCACCGAAAACTCCTGTCGTAAGCTTTTATAATCGAGGAAATACTTGAGATATTTTAAACCCGAAGGAAATATAGACTAAAAGTTTTAAATCACCTCTGGTTAATATTTGAAAATTAATTTCAGACCACTGGACCAATGGAACCGCAAAAGGTGGAAGTGCCAATGTCTGGTTGTATTATGGTGCCGACTGCGAGTCCGCAAAGTCGTAGTGTACCGATGCCGACGTACGAGCCTCCACTGGTAAGTATTGTATTTCAATTTTCTTCACCAATTTTATTCACGCGTGTGTTTAAAAATCTTGCACTCGAGATGAAAATAATAAGGTTAATCCAGAATACATTAAAACGGCGTTAAACTAACTCTGTTTGGTTTCGGTTAGCATGGAAGTACGGGTGCTACTCCACCAGGGGGTCAGTATGGTCTTGTCCCCCCGCATCGTTCCCAGAGCCCTCCATTGCCTCCACCTGCCCATCATCATGCTAATACTTCACAGGTACTTACTTTCTAATATTCTTTTAATAAAACACTTGTACGACTTACGTGAAAATTAAGCAAGGCTTTCTTTTAGTGATTATTTTGACAGATTGCATGAAGTTTTAAGAAATGTTGTTGCGTATTTATTAAGTGAATTGGTGTAAAAATATTTTGATTTAAATAATTATAGAAATAATTCTATTACAGAGTGAAGTCGTCAACCATTACGGAGGACTAGTTCGTGACCACTACTTGCATTCTCAAATGTTCCAATATCAATATCTACGCGCGCAACAGGAAGCGTTAACGGCTCCTCGTATAACAACTTATCACATTCCAGGAACAAGATCTCCGCACGTATCTTTAGATCCGAAACTCGATCCTGGTATAGAGGACAGTCATAGTCCTCCTTTAGAACTGAGACGAGGCACAAGAACGCCTCAGGATCGTACTACCGACAGTCCGCAAATTGCTCATTTATACGGGGGAATGAGACCGTTACCACCCCCTCCATCACAATACACAGGAAGTAATCCATCGTTATCTGGCGCACCAGCTAGCGCTAGAGCGAGTTATGGGTACGAACCACCACCCGCTCATTTGCGTTCTCAATATCCTGTGGCTGGCAGCGAGGCTCCACCTGAAATAGGTAGAGCTCCTACGCCGGATAGATGTAGGAAACATCAGGTCGTCACTCCGCCGCTTTACGCGTCTCAGGTGCCACCGCAAGCGGATTCCTTTCAGATGCTACTCCAACGTCATCCGGTTATGTGGCAAGGTTTATTAGCTCTCAAGAACGATCAAGCAGCGGTACAGATGCACTTTGTCTTTGGCAATCCCAGAGTAGCCAGAGACAGTCTTCCATGTAACAGCGATGGCTCTACACCGCCGTTGAGAATAGCGCAAAGGATGAGATTGGAGCAAACTCAAGTCGAGGGCGTAGCAAGAAAGATGCAGGTATGTGTCACAATCTCTTTACTAAATTATAGTACTAGAATTATACAATGTTATAAATCCTAAATTTATTCGTATTTAAAAATAATTTGTATCTTAACGTTTTGTATAAATAGATTTCTTGTAAATACTAAAAGATGATGTTTGCTGCACAAATAAATTTTAAATAAGATAAAATAATTTTTAATATGCCATTTGATGCCCTCCAGACTGAAGATGAACATTGCATGCTATTGGCACTACCTTGCGGCCGTGATGAAGTAGATGTATTGCAACAAAGCAAAAATCTTCAAGCAGGATTCATTATGTATCTTCAACAAAAGCAAGCTGCTGGAATTGTAAATATTGCTGCACCTGGGTCGCAACAGGTACGGTAAAATTGTTATGTGTGTGTGTGTGTGCATATGTATTTTGCATGATGAAAATTTTATAATCACAAGATTCAAATCTTTTATCAAGTTTAAAAGTTTTATTATATCAGTTATTTTGTTTTCTACGAATCGCTTTGTCTTTTAATTATTTGTTCGGTTTTAATGACAGTGCACGATTAAAATTTAATGTTACAAATTAATTAATTATTTTAGGCGGCGTATGTAGTTCACATTTTCCCATCTTGTGATTTCGCGCATGAAACTTTGGCAAGAATAGCACCGGACCTACATCACCGAGTTGCAAAAATTGCTCACTTATTAATTGTCATCGCCACGGTTTGAGGCCAATCAGCGACCTACTGGATTATAATCTGACTATATCTCTCGCCTTCGCGCACCGCAGGACGCTTCGCACGTGGTATGAAGCCTGGAGTGTCCGTCTGACACACATTGTTGTGCGAAACAGAGAGATGCATTCAAGAGGAAGAACTCCTTGTTAGGAGTTGTATCAGTGACAATCAAACGGAACCCGGCGGTAAGCCAATCTTTAGATCGTAGGCCTAAAAAGCGAGGCACGAGGTTGTGCAGTGAAGCGAGGTTAGCACCTGGTTATCTTCGTGCGTGCCTCTCTTCGATGAATTTCGCGCGGGCAAGCTCGTTTCGTTCTCTTGTCCCTTTTTCCCTCCTCTTTTTCTTCGAACAGCTTGTGACTCGCGTCAATCATTGACAACGTTTGTGGGATCGACCGACGTCACTCTTGGTCTTTCTGACAAGCGAGTCAGGCACAACCCCAGCCCTCAAGACAAGACCTTCGATTCGTCACGCGACGCCCGTTTACTTACGCTCGTCCTTCCCGTAGAGGGAACAGTAATAATTCGTTGCTCTAGATGGACAAGTGGACTGCGAAGCATAATAACGAATAGGAAAACCTTAACGTACACTCGTCACTATTACACATGAGTTATTTTAAGCGAGGTCTAGGCATTAATGATAAATTGTGTAAATTATATAAGCGAGCCACCGAGGGCATAACTACTGTGATTTTAAGTATTTAACGATAATATAATTGCGTATAAAGGAGAAAAAAAGAAGGTGACAAAAAGTAAAAACATATAAGGGGATGCTCGACTATTGGTCCGCGCGGTATGTGATGTGTTTTTGTATAATACTACGCTATATAAATAATTATGTATTATATTAATGTAACTGATAGTTTGCTGCTGCCCGTTGCTGCTGCCGCCGTCGGTCGTATCGTTAGAATGTAAATTACAATGTTAGACATCTAGCACAGAGAAACGAGAAAAGTTGGGCTACCCCGAGTAGGATTTCCGATCTATTTGTAGATCTATCCATTTGCGTATGTATCATAATTACTCGAAGCAGGATGCAAATTTGTGAATTATTATTATTATTCTTAGCATACTCCCTTAGCGTCATACGTCTTATAAAAAGATTTTTAACGTTACTACTTATTCTTTATCATTATGATTATTATGATTACTATTATCACCAGTGTTTCCAGTGTTGCCAGTGTCGGTATAATTCTAATACACTCACACATATATAAATATATACATACACGTACATAAAGAAATGGAAAAATTGGGAGGGGAGGGAGGGATACATAAAATAAATTAAACGATGAATCGATTTTCTCATTTATGAAATATATAATCGTATTTCACGTTTAATTTATTTTAATAAATGGCTCTGGTAATACTGATCACATTACCCATTCTTATTACTGTTATTATCATTATTATTAATATTATTATTATTATTATTAAAAGTACTATATTATACCACTCTGCTATTACTATTATTACCACTATACTATTACCACTACTACTACTTACTACTACTACTACTACTATTCTATCACTACTATTATCGCTGCTATTAATTATTATTAACGTTATTACAGCAGGCTAGCTAGGGCATACCAATCTGCACATTTAAGGACAAATGGGGCTTATTTGTCATACTGAGAGAAACAGTATGACCGATCTCATTGACCACTGACGCCCCATATACACTTCCATCCTACAAGAGGTAGATATACCCGAGCAGAACGAACAACGAATGAGCAGCGAATGCGAGTAGAACGGTGTTCAATTCACGATCGTTGTTCGTTCGTTTCATTGTTCGTTTGCACGTGTAGTGTACACCTATCTTTACACCCCATCCCTCGATTCCGTCGTACGACGACTCATAGACTCTTTAGCATTCGTGTCCAAGATAATAAATGCGCTTATGTGTATAGACCAGAGATTACACTATATCACACCAAGCCGTCAAAAAACATTTTAAGTAAATTAAGAAACTTATATCTATTTACGATTATGCTGCTGCGCGTAGGGCGCATGCCTCTAGAGAGTAATCTTCATGCAAAAGTATCAGGGATGAACGAAATGCGCATCCATTTGTTCTAATTCTAAATTGCGAGGACACTTTACAAATCATGAGTATCTTTATCTAAAATATTTCATTTTTCTTTAGCAAAAAACTTAATCTTTTTTTTTTAACATTTCATTAGAAAACGATGCGTAGTAAAGTTATAAATACGATTCGATATTTGCCGATATCCTTCGATTCCAAATACTTAAGCTACCGAATTGTTTGATTACTTAAATTTGAATTAGATTTATTCGAGAGCAGTTTTGAGAGAGAAGTGATTATCTTTTTTGGATACTAAGATCTAGATAATGCAAATCTGGATTTTAAGGATAAACAGATTAATTTCAAATAATTCGATTATCATTTCAAATAATTGTTATCTGGATATTTATAGGTCTAATGCATACAATTATAGTATTGTTTATGAAAATTGCAGATATAATTGTAAGAAACACGATCGTTTATTTTATTTACTTATCTCATCGTTCCGCTATTAATTTTAGAAACGATTGACGATTCGATGAATCCATTAATTTTATTTATGGCGATGAACTGCATCGTAATTATCATCGTTCCGTTCATCCCTGCGATTTACAATTACTTTAAGGCAGCGCGGATACTCGCGGAGCGTGTGCATGTACAGTGTAAAAGATGCGTTGTGGATATGTACAGTGTAGAGGTATAATTGAGCGAGCAAGGTGATAAAAAAACAAGAAAACGCGTATATATTATAGCTATGAGTAAGTACATAAGGCACGAACGTGCGCACGTGTCGCGTGACGTCTCGTTTATATTTTCACGAAAGCGCTGTGTTTTCCCCTTCACTCTTTCTTCAGCAGCCAGTCATATAGTATGTAGGTGCAGGATTACATGTTTTCCTGTGCCATTGTTACGCGACGCGTGCGCAGGTCGGCGGGCCTCGTCTATCTTGTAAAATATCTGTGAATATTATGATTTAGTTTCTTCCTATTTGTAGGCTACAAGGTATACAAAAAAATGTTTACGTTAATCATTTAAGGAGAATGTACAGATATCACTATATCCTTTTTTGTTTTGTGTTTTACTGTAGTTATTGATAATTATATGGATATTAACGATAATAATAACTATGATTAAAAAGAAAAAAAACTTAAGCACGGCTCGATTGCGTCATTCTTGAAAAACCCGCTAATATGCGCAATATATTTATTCTGTGTAAGAGAACTCTCGGTGATAATGTATCATTTGTATATTAGTAATTACGTGATCTCCTATAATAATCGAAAAAAAAAAGAATGAAACTTGAATAGTATTGATATACGTTGCGACACACCGTTCCATCTCCTAAATTCGTCACAATCTCCACGATTTATTTCCGCGCCGTCTACATGCGTTCTTCTGAAATGTTAATGCGTTAAAAAAACGTATGTTAAGAACTTTCTTTTTATATTAGATCAGGAGCTGGACTTCTCGCTAGAAAGGTAATATAATAAAACACAAACTATTACCTCGAATATTGACGTATATTTCTTACGGTCTTACATTTGTCATACTTTTTGTTGATTTTGCTAATGAGTTGCGACAAGACAGCGATAGAAAGTTTCAGCTTGTTCTACATAATCCTATCGTACGAGACACGGATTAATATAAATCAGTCCTGCGACAAGAATAGCAAAGTTACCTTACAAATCTTGTTTAAAAAAATTGAAACTCTGTTGTAGAAGAATGAATATTACGAGATTTATGTTTAAAAATATTTTGTCTCCGTTATGAAACTTGGACACCTCGATCTGATCGAGAGCACTTTTGAAACACTCATCTAAGGATCGCTACTCCATTCAGGCCAATCTTGAATTTTCGTGTAGAGGTGACTTCCAGGACTGGCTGTTGAAATTACCTGTCGTCCACCGAGCACGCGTACATTGTTTCGAAGGATACCTTGGGATTTTCCACATTTGATTAATTGATGTGCAGTATCTACCATTGTCTGGTTAACTTCATTTCCTAAAAAAAAAAAATATTGTCACAATAGAGTAATTTACAGTAGCAAAAAAATATATACTGATATAATCTCGCTAATGAGAGACAATAGGACTAGTGATAGACTAGTGATAGACACGTTTCGTACGATTTATTGCGATAACACTTACGCTCAAAATTCCCAATAAAAGCTATACCGACAGATTTTTTATTATATCCGTACGTATGAGCTCCTTCGCGTGTCCATCCGCATCCCTCGTATACGTTTCCATCGCCACCGATCAAGAAACTTTAAAAACGAAAACAATAATTATCAAGTAAATGAGTATCTTTTTCATATTTCTCTGTCATCCAAACAGACATACATATGTAAGTATAAAATAAACGGTATTTTATTTAAGCAAGTACACAAAACATTTACTTATATTTTAATATAATATAATGAAATTATATGCAATTAAATAGGGTGCAAATATTTAAAATAAATTATAGCAAGCATTGAAAAAAAATTAAGATTTTTTTATTAAGATTGTTTCGCCGAAATTAGAATAATCAATAAGTTATTGGCATCTAAGAATGAAAAAAAAGTGATAACTACTTGGCTTTATTTAGTATGATTAGTATCCCAGTGACTCGAAAAATTTTCATATAATCATAATGAAGATAATGTTATAGCTTACGAATAACCAATGTCGTCCCAACCATTTGTGTCCATATGAACACTGCGAATGTTGTCGACGCTACTTGTACAACTACTTCGCGTATTACATTCGGGAGTGACTGTGTGATGTACTATCACATAAGGTATCGGTACTATTAAATAATTAACTTCTCCAGGAGGAACACTGCTCCATTGACTTCTTTTGATGATATTTGGACACTTGACCTTTGCTAAAATATTCAATGAAAAATAATCTTAATTAATTAACTATTTAATCATTTTAATTATAATACTAAAGACACATGATTTTTTTACTAAAGAAGAGAAATCTTAAAAAAATAATTTAATTTTTTCAGATGTTAATAAAATTTTTTTACTTTTCTGTTTACAAGAAAATTGAAAATAATTTAGGAAAAGATTAACTTTTTTATAACAGTATCTTTTATGTCCTTTTTATATATTTATATGAACTCGGTCTATTTTGGAAAGTAACATATATAATAATTAATAATGAGAAAAAACAAAGAAAGAATTCTTTTCCTTCTTTTGCTGAAATGTTTTTCTTTCACGAAGGACAGAATAAGATATGCAGAGAAACGATACATTTCAAATATAATTTCAAAGAATTTCATAAAGTGATAAACAACAATCGGTTAAGAATTTAGAAAGATACTTACTGGCAAAACTGGCAGGGAGTGCCAGTAAAAGTACGAAACAGATTCTCATCATCCTCACAGCAACGATGTGCAACTGTATGAGGAAATGATCGAAAGATTGGAATGTAACGTTAATAATATCTCGGGTTGTGACTTATGACGAAGTGATAATGAGAATTAACTGAATAATCATATAATTACTCGGACTTCGCACTTTTCAATTGCAGCAAGGAGGAGCGACCGAAATGGAAAAATTAAAATATGAATTTGTTACTTATCATGATAAACGAATAAAATTATAATATTTATTAATAATCATGTTAACAATCTTTATTAAATAAATCTCTCTTTCTCTACTTTAGAAATTAATTATAATTAATAAGAGCAATTTTGTCTTGAATTAAGATTTATTATTGAACAAAATATTCATTCAATCGATATATCGATTGAAGATAACTTGTTATGCTTCCAAGAATTGACTTTTGCCAGGTTTTACAGTTCGCATACGTTCACAAGCATTCGTCATATTGTGATTCTTCCAGTGTTTCTGTATATTTCTCGAGAAGGAAAGAGAACGTAATGGAGACCGTTCGACCATGCGGTTGCAAAGGAATACGTTCTTGTTTGATTTGCGAGGCCGAATACGAAATTTCGAAACCGAATCTGAAAAACGAGTTACAGGTAGAATACGGAGTACCCTAACCTATCTGATAAGCGTGACATCGGAATTTCCCGCGATTAGTTGTAACATTTTTCGAAAATT